TCTCCTACATTCATCTCCACTTCAGTCCAAGTGTGTACATTTTTAATATACAAAGCATTGAACTCGATGTCTTCACTAATCTACAAATGTCTACACAAAAAAGTGTTCTCTTCTATCTTCTGAAAATATAGCTCACGATGTCACAAAATCTTATAACCTTGTGGTGTTACTTTTATTAAATATACTCCAACATGTATTCCAATAACTATGAAATTTAGTTTTAATTACAGTTGTGTAAATCAGGTGTTTTTGTGGTATGGTGATAGTCCTAATTTAGATCATCTCAACCCTCATAAATGGAAATTAACAAGATTTTACTCTAAGGGTGTCTAGACTACCTAGTTTTGTCGACAAAAGTGGACTTTTTTCGACAACTATACCAGCGTCTACACTACCGCTGAGTTCTGTCGACATAACGTCGACAGAACTCAGCAGTTTTGTCGACGCTGGTAAATCTCATTTTACGAGGCATAACACCTTCTGTCGACAGAACTCTGTCGACAGAAGGTGTTATTGCCTATAACATTGGGTCCAGACTACGGAGTTCTGTCGACAAAGCAGCTTGCTTTGTCGACAGAACTCAATGTGTCTGGACGCTCTTTGTCGACGGAAGTTTTGTCGACAGTATCTGTTGACAAAACTTCCGTCGACAAAACGCGGTAGTCTAGACGTACCCTAAATGTCATCTTTTTGTACTTTTTTATGATGGAGAGGAGTATTGTTAATAGTGATACCTACAGAAGGAAATGATTTTGGGTAGTGCAGGTGGAAAGTTTTTGGCAATAGATGTGCCTAATTTGTATTAAAAAGACACTAAAATTGCCCAGTGAACTTTCGGGTACAGTGTGTATTGAGCTCTGTGGAGGTGTAAAATTCAAGACTGGTCCTAGGAGCCATGATTATTACAAGTAAGACTTGGACTTTTTTGGAAGTCTGTTCAGTGAGTGAGAGATGAGTGGTGATCTTAATAGCTTGTACCAGCAATTAATCTTTCTCATCCTACATACAGAAAACCCCCTTTGATTCCATCATGAAAGACAAATCAATTTTTATGGCATTTGAGATGTACTATCTTATAACATTAGCACATTATGTTCAGGCAATCCCACCAGCAATTTTTCTTGGCGGTCTTCATAATCCCATGGCTGCAGAGGACCGGTGCTAGAACAGCTACTCTTTTGTCCTTTATTACATTAACCTTCCCTTCAAAGTATACTGGCCTGCCTAAAGGCCTATAGATACTTTATGTGACCTTTCTCTTTATTCAGTGGCAAAAAAAGCCTTCATCTCAGTACTTAACATTTCATCTGGCAAAATTTCTTCAGTCCTGTCAAGTCAATCTGACAGACAGCTCTGTATTCCATTTCCAAACACTAGATATCAGTTGTCAGTCTCTCAACCTTGGAGATTATTTAGCAAAGTCTGTCCTTTTGTGCACCTATTCTTTCCTCCCCAAAAGAGGGAAATAAATGGGGCAGGCTTAGAAAGCAGTAGATGATATTTACAAGTAGAACGCTTGTAAATTAATATTGGTGCATGGTAAACTCAGAACTCTTATTCTGAAGCAGACTATTCTCCAACGGAAGAAAGCTAACTATGTTGATCTCAAACAAGTTTTTTTCTGAAAATGAATGAACTCAGAGCCAATGGGCAGTGATGAATTTGGGATTTCTCAATATTCTTTCCAGAGTTTATTTTGAATTCTACTTTTAAACATACCTTGCTAAATTAAACTAATTGATCATGGTTTTTCTGCTGCAAAATGATAGACAATATGTAGTTGAAACTCTGCATACAAGTAGTCAGTTAATTACCTAACGATTCTGAATTTGTTCCTGAATCCTCTTCTCTTATTCTTTACTTTTGGCTGTTTGTGTGACCACCATTCTGTATCCTAGAGATGGCTTCATTTTCAGTGCTGGCTTGTCATGTATGTAGCTTGGAAAGAAGGCTGTTGTGTCTTGGTAAGCCAGTTTCTGTTTACATATAAAATATTTTTCTTTATTCAGCTGAAACAGTTGTACCTCTATTGCAGCTATCCTTTTCCCATGGCTTTTAGTATTCAAATCAAGGCCAAGTGAATCCAGCTGCTGCTTTTGAAAATGAAATCGAGCTTGACATTTGAACTTGCTCTGACCACTCTTGATTTGGGTTTTTAATAGGGGAGAATGTGGGCTACTTTTTGAAGGTGACCTTCTGAAACTATTTTCTAAATAGCACCTAGATGAATACTTTGTTTATTAGAACTACTTTGTAAAAAAGCAGTGAACCTTGTATAACTTCTCATTTACAACTAAAGTGCAACATTCAGTTAATTGAATACATGGCTACTGTTAATTATTTTGTTACGGCTAATTGATATTCACAGAGATCATGTTCTGCTGCCCCATAAATATAATATTACCTTCAAGTTTATATGTGAAGAGTGAATTCTCAGATAATGGCATGTATATGCAGTTTGCTTTGTAAATGTTGCTGTGATTTTTATTTTTGTTATTCTTAACTTTTTTTGAGTTATTCTATGAATGCCAATAGCATCAGTGAGTTTGTAGATACATTTTGACTGATTTATTTACAGGTCTGGAAAAATCTACCAGTTTCATTCATAGTTCAAGGAACCAAATATTTTGATTGTATCTAGACTGCTTATTCCCATAGAGGTTCATTGTTTTATATTACCACTAACAGATTGGTCATTGTGTACTCTCAGGGAATATTACATTGCCATGTAAGCCAGGGCTCAAGCTCAGGGTTGAGTCCAAACACTGTAAGAACATAAGAACAGCCACACTGGGTCAGACCAAAGGTCCATCTAGCTCAGTATTCTGTCTTCCGACAGATGCCAGTGCAAGAGAGAGTGAACAGAACAGGCAATCAAGTGATCCCTCTCCTGTCGTCTATTTCCAGTCTCTGACAAACAGAGGCTAGGGCCACCATTCCTACCCATCCTTGCTAACCTTCATGACTTTATCTAGTTCTTTTTAGAACCCTGTTAAAATCCTGGCCTTCACAACATCTTCTGGCAAGGAGTTCTACAGGTTGACTGTCCACTGCGTAAAGAAAAACTTCCATTTGTTTTTGTTTTAAACCTGCAGCCTATTAATTTCATTTAGTGATCACTAGTTCTTACGTTATGGGAACAAGTAAATAACTTTTCCTTATTTACTTTCTCCATACCTGTCATAATTTTATAGACCTCTATCATATCCCCCTGAGTCTCCTTTTTTCTAAGCTGAAAAGTCTGAGTCTTTTTAACCTCTCTTCATATGACACTCATTCCAAACCCCTAATCATTTTTGTTGCCTTTTTCTGAACTTTTTCTAATGCCAATATGTTCTTATGTTCATTTGGGTGCTATAGAGAGGCCCTTAAGGTCAAGGGAATGGGCTTGGTAGTATGGACACTTCTAGAAAATCAATCTTCTGTGGCTAAATTCAGTCTAAACTTGTAGTGTAGACTGCACCTAAGTGTTCATATAGATACGTCTATAAAGTTTTAACCATGTCCCACCGTTTGGTCTCATTTCAGTATGGGGTTTAAGTCTGCCTCTTAAAGTTTTACAACCTTCTGTATATTTCTCATTGTATCACTTTCTGTTTTTGTTCTAGAGAAAAGTCTGTTCATATGCTACTATTGGTGTCTTTCAGTGACGTACGGGGAATTGATTTTAATTGATCTGTTGAACTAGCTGAGGAGAATGAGTTTGTGATTAGGTGCTTTGAGGTCTCCCCAGTCATTGCTATTCATATTTGATCTGTTTGTGTTTTACTCTTAAACTTCTTAAGGCTGTGAATTGTTGAAATGTTAAAGGTGAATTGCTTTATGACATTTTTGTCATTTTTTTACACTCTGTGTTGACTTTACATTGGGTGGCTTTGTGTCATCATTAGGATCAGGTGATGCATTTATAGTATTGAATTCTAAGACCTTAGACAGTAAATTACTTGAGCATTTGGAATAGTTGTAATATTTATTACATTTTCTTTATTACTTAGCTACTTAATTGTACTCAGATATTCCTTTTCATTTGTTTGCACGTGTTTCAGGGATCATGGTAGATATTGACACACAGGGAATGAAGTTGCACAGGAGAGCTAAGATGCAGCAAGAGAGGTTTAGGTTGGACATAAGGAAAAAATTCCTAGCTGTCAGCGTGGTTTAACACTGGAATAAATTGCCTAGGGAGGTTGTGGAATCTCCATCACTGGAGATATTTAAGAGCAGGTTAGACAGACATCTGTCAGAGATGATCTAGACAGTGCTTGGTGCTGCTGTGAGGGCAGGGGACTGTACTCGATGACTTCTTGAGGTCGCTTTCAGTTCTATCATTCTGTGATAATACATTAGTGATCTGAGAGGTGAACTGATTTTTATAGAGAGGAACTGGTTAAGTTTTTATAACTAGTGACTGTTTGCTGATAATGTAATTGGTTAATTGCCCCCTCCTGGAGAGGTTCTTGTATGACGCTACTCCCACGTTATATTATTGAAATGTAAATGCATCTTGATAATCTTGATATGCACTTCATTTTTAAAAAAGTCAAATATTTCATTTTTTTTATGATTCTGGTATTCTCAGAATCTTTTATTTATTGGAATAGGAAAAGTATTTCAGATGTAATGAACATTGTAGTTTAGTTATACAATAGATTCCTTCACAGTATAATAGCGTAATCGTATGTAAGTGTTTCCAATTTAAGTGGTTCTTAGACCATACATATAGCCCTACAAAATTGTCATGAAAATTTACCAGCTGAGGCACAAATCTAATAGCTTGCCCTTTACAGTGATGATTGTAGTGGAAAACAAAACTAGTTGTCCTGGGTGAGCAGATTTTTCCAAGGCTGCGTAAATGTGATTAATATTATTTTCCTATAGCTTTCCGTTATGTCCTGAATTTCTGACATACTGCCTGCACATTGTTGTTCTTTTTGTATATTTTATGCCTCCCATTCACAGACTGTATTCATGACTCTTTTTTTAAAATCCACATGCTTCAGGAGATGGAAATAAAGGTAAGCAGTAAAACAGGAAATGAAACAAGGGTGCCAAATTCACATTTTGTCATTGAAAGGCAGTTTGCCTAAAAACATGGTACCTACTAAATACCAAAAAATTCCCTGCTCTTGACGAGCAGAAATAAAACAAGTACAATATAGAGAGCAGAATTTGAAAGTTTCCTAATGCAGCACTGCCAATGTGATTTAGAGAAACCATCTCAAGGAGTGAGAAGGTAACTCAATTTCCTTGACATCCCAGCTGATGCTGCCATGGTGTTAGTTGTGGTGGGTTCTGTGATGTTGGTGCTTGGCTGAAAGGCACACAGTAGAGATCCATAACTCATTTTAGGTAGGTCCCTGAATGGCCTTCAGTGGGTAATGACTATTTGATTATCATCGGCCTGGGATTAATTTTTACCAATATCCTAGATGTGAAATTTCCTACATTCTGTCACCAATCCCTTGACAAGAATTCCTCTCTAAAGGAGTTCTTATATGTGATATGTGTGTGCATAGTGTATAAATATTTTAAAACTGTCTTTCATGAGCCCCATTGATCCTACTATAAGCAAAAAACCATGAAATACCACTTTGCTCACCAGTGCTGAAAATCCAGTACTTTTTGTGAGCACTCAACTCATAATATTAAAAGGCCAGAAGTCCATTAGCTGCAAGTAAACAAGGAAGCAACTCACACAACAGTAAAAGTGTTGCAAATTATTCAGCAGCTGCCACTCCAGAAATGCTGATAGTTTCCAGAGAGTGAAAAAGGGAATGGCGGTGTGAAAGTTGGGAAACTGAGTCATGAGTTGACCCAATTTAGACTTAATCAGTTTTCAAACAGAATTATTGTCACAGCATTTATGCTAGAGAAACAATAACAGACAAAGCTGAATTGGTGAAGGGGCCCAAGTTATTCTATGTTAGATGTCACCTTCTCTGATCCCTTGGTCTGATCCTTCAGTCGTGTTCTTCAGTTTCTGAGCTGATGCTTCTTCAGTTTTGGGACCATGTTCACTTAAGTCTTTTATCCATTTCTACATTACAGATGATTTAATCTTTATCCAATAGCCAGTTTGTGTTTTAGATACCCCATTACAGATGTGTGAGTTTTAGTTACTTGACTTTTGGTTTATGCTGGCTTTTGCCATTGAATCATTTTAGTTTGTCATCTTCAGCCCATAGAAAGGATCTTCCTGAAAAAAAGAGGTTTTTTAAATTTTATTTCATTACATATTGGTATATGTCTCACATCTTCCAGCACATGTTAACTTTGTTGTCAGAAATAACATGATTTTAAACTACCAGCAATTCTGCGTTTAAAAAAAAAAGGAGGCAAAACAACGCTTATGTCCAAGCATTACATCATCTATACTAATTTACTATCCATAGATGCAAATCATTAAAATATAACTAATATTTAATTTTATATTTCAGTGTATATATGTCATTGTGATGTGTGAGATCATAGAGATCCCCTTGGGACTGTCTACCGCTGTGCTGATCATACCACTGAGCCCTCCTCCTGGGGCACTCCATCACCCTGTCCTGCTAGGCCAGACGCTCTGGTCTCCCTGAATAAAAGAACAGAGCTGGGATAACAGCCCCTCATCGTAGCAACACAGATGCTGATAACTCTGGGAGGGCTTGGCTACCAGGGCTTGACAGTCTCCAGGAGCACAGCCCTCAAATAGATTTATTTGGGGGTTTGGTTCTGTCTTACTGTGAGCTTTCTCTGCGTAAAACTTTTACAGAGTCGCTCTCTCTATCCATGAAAGAGAGAGATGCACGGCTGTTTCTTCCATTGCCCCCCCATTACAGTTATTTCCACTGCATTTCATAGCAAGAAAAATGTTTTTATTAAGCATAAGAAAAGGATTTAAGGGATTGTAAGTGAAAACAGACATAACAAAGAAAATTACTAGTCTAAAATAAACAAAACACACCAGCTAAGCCTAATGCCCTAAGAAAGATGATTATAGAGCATATTTCTCACCCTACTTCTTATTTTAGGTGAAATCCTTCAAGTCAGAGCTCATCTTTTCTCTGGCCTGGGTCCAGTGTTTCCTGTAATATGAGCACTTGGGCCATTCTCCAGGAGAGATTCAGCTGCTGTCCAGCTGGTTAGCAGAGCATCCACAGCTGGCAGCATGTGTTTCTACTGGTGGTACACGTGTGGGTGCACATCTCTCTGATTTTTTCCAACAGTAGGTGGAATAAATTTTGTTAACACTGCCTGGGTCTAATAGCTTCTTAGGGTGGGGAGGCAGTATCAAACAGCTGAAGAGGATCACTGATTGCTTCTCATCCCTTACATAGAATTTCCCCAAGATGAAAATTATTTGTTCCATTTTTTCCATCCCAATTCAAAAATACTAATTCAGGATAGATTCCAGTACCAGATGACATGGTCACAGGATCTTTGTAGGATCAACCTAGATTAGGCTTAAACGAAAACCAAAACAATTTACAGATCATTGCTTTGAACACCGGGCCACTAGATTCCTTAAGTACTGCTAACTGTTTTAGTTCTAGATTAATAAGCAGTTTGACACTAGGGATTGGAACAACTAGTCGACTATCTCAAAAGCAAATGCTTACCAGAGTGCTGACACACTGGTCGACTAGTCACTTCCCCCCTTGCTGCCTCTGTCAAAAGGAGGCAGCAAGGGCAGGGCGAAGTAGAGGAGGTGCTTCAAAGCAGCAGCACCGTTTGGAGCCTGGGGCCAGACCCTGCGCTCCACATGGCACTGCTTCTTTGGAACACTGCGTGAAGCCTGACACCATGCTCCCCACGGTGTTTCAAAGCAGTAACGCTGTGGGAAGCACAGGACCAATGGGGGACTGCTGGAGTCCCACGCTGGCCCCATGCCCACCACAGTGCTTTCACTTTTGAAGTGTAGCAACAGTCCTGCTGTGCTTCATACGCAGAGGTGCCCTTACTGAATAGTCGATGCAAATTGTATGGGCTGTTCGATTAGCCAGTTAAAAAATTGTATATCCCTAGTTCACACTTCCCTATTTCTAACTTCACATATAAGAATTTTACATGCACACACACTGAATTTATACGTTCAGGGGATTACGGGCTCCTGATCGATCCGTTACTTGACCTGTTTTGCATAAAGCATAATTGACTTATGCATATTCATATTCAAAAGCATAATTATGTAAAATGGGGAGGTAGCATCACAGTTATGCTATGCATGGTTTATTAAAAAGCATGTGTGTATTGGGGTGAAATTGTATAAAATGATTATTTAAGGCAATATTTCTGTTTTTAAACATAGGTTTTTCATTCAAACTCTAATTTTGTTGTGAATCATAAGTTTTCTATTAATTGATTGTGTGTGGTGTCCCAGCTTTACAGCCTTGATATTTAGTTGTTTTTAATGATACATCAACAGGACAGTGGAGCAATTGGTACATTGTGCTTTAAAGTCTGATTCAGTAAAGGATTTAAGCCTCTGAGCAGCCTCGCTGAAGTCAGTGGAACTAGTAAAGAGCTTAAAGTTAATCACATGCTTAAGTGCTAGATTGGATCACAGCCCAATGCAGAACTGGTATTCAAAGACTTTTTAAAAATCATACGTGACTGTGTTGGGGTCTTTTGCCATGTACACACCAAAAGTGTGTGTCTCATTCTTGGAGTTTCAATGTGCTAACATTGTGACAACGCATAGCTTTGGCTGGAATTAATAGGAAACTTTCTTAAATGCAGTAGTTGTGCACAAAGAGTTACTTTCAGCATAGTATGCTTGGTGCTGTCTTTGCGACATTTCCAGATATACGTGAACAAATTGTGATGCAGCTGTTGAGAAAAAAAAAAGTATAATAGATAAGCTCTTTACATTTTCAGTGCAGTAATCATCTTATTAATTTATTGTTTGGGCGAAAACTAATAGGCTACAGGCTTCAATTGGTGTATACTGTTTATTGGTACAATTTATACTAGATTTTTTGCTCTGCAAGTGCTGCTTTTTCTTGTTCCAGTTTTAACTTTACACTTCTTTTTTTAGGCCAAGCAGCTGGAAGAGAAAGACAGAGAACTGAAGAAGCACGATGCATACTACAAAGAGCAGCTGGCTCGACTGGAAGAGAGGGTGAGACCATTTTTCTTGGTTAATTATGAGTTTTGTTCATTTCCTTTACCAATGTCCTGGTTCCTGTTGAAGCTTAAGTATCAACAGGAAGGACTTCATAAACCAGAATTCATAGAATTATCGAATACTAGAACTGGAAGGGACCTCGAGGAGTCATCAATTAAAATGATTAAATGAATTGTTTTTGTCTTTTTCTGTTTGAGAAGGAAAGGATTAAAGATGGAGATTTTATTTTGAGAATCTTTTATTCCTTGATAACTAATACAGGTTGGACCTCCTTGGTCTGGCACCCTCGGGACCCGAGAAGTCCCAAACCAGGGAGTTTGCCAGACCAGGGGAAGTCAAGGCTCCCATCTGGGCTGTGGCCATCACCGGAGCCTAGACTTCCCTCCCTGCTGCTAGCCCCCTGGAAGGGCTCCCAGGGTCAGCCTCCCCTGCCATCACTGGCCCCGCTCTCCGGGGTTCCTGGCCAGGGCTGGGGTTTCCCCCTCACTGCCGCTGGCCCCTGCTACTGGGGTTCCACGCTGGGGCTGGGATCCCTCCCTTGGCTGCCCCTACCCTGCTCCTACTGGGGATCCATCCCTCCATGGCTGCCTCTGGCCCTGCTCTCACTGGGGATCCTCCCCCTTGGCTGCTGCCGGCCCTGCTCCTGCTGGGGATTCCCCCGTTGGCTGCCGCTGACCCTTCTCCTGCCGAGGATTTCCCTGCTCAGCTGCTGTCGGCCCCACTGCCACTAGGGTTCCTGGCCAGTGCCAGGGATACCTCCTTGCTAATGCTGGAGCTCCCTGGCCTGAGGCTACCCAGGGTTGGACTTCCCACCCACTGCAGAATCAGCTACGGCTCCCCGGCACCCACGGGACTCCCATCTGGCTTGTGCTCCTTTTGTCTGGATCTCTCTCGACCAGCAACATCCATGGTCCTTCCTTCTGGACCATGGATGTTGCCAGACTAGAGAGTCCCAGATTTGGGAGATTCAACCTGTATTGTCGTTGAGATGAGTTTTCATCTCATACTATTTACACACAAACTGTTTTTATCTTCACAAGAGGTTACTTTTCCAACAGGAAAGGGCACATAGGATGAAAAGAGACCAAGCAGGAGAACTGGTTTTATTTCATTGGGCATTGCCTAGCATTTCCAAGATGATAAAATTACAACGTTCAAACATAATTATGTTCTCCTTCCCCTTCTCTTCCTCCAAAAACACCCCATATCTTTGGTTGGGCAGAGACCATGTCTCTTAGACAAACCACCAAGATATACAGGGAAAGATTCATTTTTATTGTTAGAGTAATATGACATATTTAGAAGGCATTAATCAATTTTATCTCAAAAGAATTTGAAACTACGCTGTAGACTGCTAGAACAATCCAGAGAGGTTAACGATAATGGTAGTACATTCTTTTTAATGAAGTAAATATTTCAAAAAGATGTATTGCTATTAACAATTGCATCTTACATAATGACATTTTGTAACAACTCCTGCTTTTCACCTTTTTGGCATTATTAAATGCATGTCCCAAATCTGGGGCAGCTTTCAACATCCATAGCTTTGCCTTTTTCATCCAAAGGACTATATTAATTAAAGGTCCTGTGGATAATTAGCTGAGCATGAGCTCCCAGTATGATGCTGTGAGGCTAGTGTGATCCTTAGATGAATAAACAAAAATATGGAATAAGAGTGGAAGAGGTTGTATTCCCTCTATATTCAGCACAGTGCAACCATTTCTAGAATATTGGTGTCCTCAGTATGATGGGGCATTCTATGTTCTTTATGGGAATATGCTTATAAATATGATATAACTGGAATATGCTTTATGCAAGATACTTTGTGTGAGAGATCATTGGAAAGGGCGTAATCTACTGAATGTGATTATGCCATTTGTAGGCGTGTATAAGTGTTGAGACAGGGGCCTTGCAGAGACATGACACCATGTCCCCGATGCTGGGATCCATCTGGGATGCTGTATTTTTCCACAAGAAAGGAGGGAATGTTTAGACTGAACATAAAGGATTCCTACCTTTTGCAAAATCTGTTTTGAGGGAGGTAATTCAGGTAATCGAGTCTGCTTTGCTTGTCCACTCAACATGATTCCTAGGGTGTATCTAGACTACAGGGTTTTGTCGACAAAACTATACCTGCCTCTACACTGCCGCTGAGTTCTGTCAACATAATGTCAACAGAAGTCAGTAGTTTTGTCAATGGCTGTAAACTTCATTCTACGAGGAATAACACCTTTTGTCAACAGAGTTCTGTCGACAGAAGGCGTTATTGCATCTACACTGTCCTTTGCGTCTACACTGTCATGTCGACAGAACTGAATGTAGTTTAGATGCTCTTTGTCGACAGAAGCTTTGTCGAGAGTATCTGTTGACAAAAGCCTGTAGTCTAGGCATACCCCAAGAAATAACAAAGACTAAAGTGAGGGAAGGAACTTTGCCCAAGCTAGAAGGATGTCTAGTCTGTGGAGATTATTAGAAATACTTTTAGAGTGAGAGATTACATGCAACTACTTGTTACTTTTTTAGAACTACTTTTTTATTGTATAAAGCTTATCTTGCGTGTTTTGTTTTGTTTTGTTTTTTTGGTTAGCAACCTACTTTCTTCTGTGTGCTGCTGTTACCACTTAAATCCTACCTTTTTGTGCTTATAGCTAACATAAATGTTTGTTATGGGAGGAAGGAGTCTGTGTGTATTTCTCTTTACATTGAAGAGAGGGAAAAATTCAGGAGCTTTTACTTGTACAGATCTCCAGATAGCATATGACTGATTTACTTAGGGTTCCGCTCCCAGAAGGGTCTGTGTATTTGAGTGCTTAGAAAAGGTCTCACTTTCTTCTGCGTACTGTTTGTCTGTAGCCTTGGAGGTGTGGCCCTCCCTGTCCTTGATGCAGGATGGAAAGCTGGGCTCAGCAAGTCAGGGTTACAGGGTGCCTAGGCTGTCAGGGAAAGCAGGTGCAGTGGGGTCTCAGCACATTAGGTAACAGTCCTAAGGAGGTCCTGACCCATCACACACAGTTCATGACAAAGGTTGGTACATTGGAGAGGATTCAGAGAAGAGCCGCAGGAATGATGAAAGAGTTGGAAAACCTGCCTTACAGTGCTACCTGTGGTGTCTAAGCAGTTCTGAAGCAGTGGCCACTATAGCTATGGATATAGCGAAATAGCCACACTCAATTGGCTAAATAGCTACATATGGCTAGTTGCTAGCGTGTTGGACAAAAAGACAAAAAGATTTTTCTCTGGGATCAGTGGGATCTCAGGTTTGACGAATGGCTCAACAAGGCGAATGTCTGGAATTTGAAGCAAGAGAAATTGAAACTGGAAATAAGAGGCGATTTTTTTAATTGTGAGTATAATTATCTATTGAAACAATTTGCCAAAGGTGGTGTGGATTTTCTATCAGTGGCATTTTTTAAATTCAGGTTGACTTTTTTTTTTTTTTTTTAAAGAGATTCTAGTTCAAAGAGGAATTAGTTTGGATAAGTACTAGGGCCTGTATTATACAAGAGTTCAGACTAGGGATGTAAGTGACTAGTCGACTAAGAATCCAGTGGCTCTTTATACTTTTAAAAGGCAGAGCTGCAGTGGGGTTAGCTCCTGGGCTAGGAGCTAACCCTGCTGCGGCACTGCAGTTTCCTCCCTTTATCAACTAATCAAATAGTCGATGGAAATTCCATCGACTAGCTGATTATTTGCAGTTTAACATCTCTAGTTCAGACTTGATTCCAGTGATCCCTTCTGGCCTTATAATCTAGGAATAATGTTCCGTTCTGAGCTTTGGATACCTTAAGTGTTCTTGGTTTTGCTAACTGTTAATATAGTTAAGATAAAATTGTAATTGCTATGTATTCACATATACAGCTATGTCAGACAGGGTACTAAAAACTTTGTAATGAATCAGAGCAGACAGCATGCTGCACAAATTGTCAGTGTATGTAATTGATATTTTTGGTTACATCATTTTTCATATAATCATATACATACAGTAAAACACACTTTATTCTTCAGCCACTTTTTATTTATTCAGAGCAGATGCAGAGCGAAAGTGGCAGAGGAGATTTCAGAGAATGAGCCGAAGTAGAATAGCTCAGTGGAATTGAGATTGAATGTATCTTGTTGACATAACAAACAGTACTGATTTTAATGCCAGCTTTATGTATGCTGCTGAAGATTTTTAATAGACCGTTCCTTCCTTTGGGTCACAGTACACAGGATTTCTGCTGTGTCTTGGTTTCTCCCTTGAAATTGAATTCTTCAGGGCTAGAACAGGCCATTCTCAGTTCAGTGGTCTCAGTTAGGGTTGTAATATCTCGTTTAACCAGTTAAACGTTAGGTTAACCTTACACTTAACTGGTCAACTGACTAAATGGGATCCCGAGCAGGAGACCGTGCTAGCCTGTCTAGTGCAACCCCCAGTCCACAGGCTCCCTCTCCCAGCCTTGCCTGGGGCTGCCTGCTCCTGGCCCTCTGTGGGGTGGGAGCAGCCCCCCTCCCACATCAAGCTGCTGATGGTGGTCTGCTCCCGAGCACCTGTTAACTGTTACCCGGTCAGCATCACCTGGTAATAGTGATGCTTGCCAAGTAGCTTGTTAACTGCTTACTCATTCATATCCCTATCAGCTATGGAGCATATGCCCTCTATCTGTCAGATTTGGGTGCTTTTCATGGCATGTTATAAGGTTACTTTTGTCATTCTGCCTCTGTGTTGATATATTAAAGAACGATTGTTTTGGGGAGATAATCATTTTGTTTGTAAATCAAGTTTGAGGCATGTAGGTTCTAATGCAGTGAGTGTTCCATAGGCACTGAAATGAGAGAAACCAGCCTTTGGGGATAGAGCTTATCTTCTGCAGAGTTTTAGGGTGCATGGGAGTGGATTTTGTGCATCCTGTGCTAAAGAACAGGGTCAACATGCAAATTTCAGGTCAGGGTCTGAATTTAGTCCAGGTTTTGGAATTTTTATTTACGTGGATGGCTCCCCTCACCTGTACCTCTGT